AGGAATGAAAAAGTGATTTAAAAATCCCTTTCCTCAAACCGATATACACATAGACCGCTCGAGCGACCAAAACATCGCTCGAGCATCAGACACAATAAGTGACACCACTCAAGCGATCAAAACACCACTCGAGCGCACAATGACCCCCTTCAAAAAGTTCTACAGACTGAAGAAGACCGTGCGAGCAACCAAAATACCGCTCAAGTGAACAAGAAGAAATCTAAACAACAACTCTTTTGAAAAACTAACTCCCAACCTGTTTCAAACACAACCAATAATGCAACTCAACTACCAATGAGATGATAAAGGACATGAACAACAATTAAAGACATAGAACCCCGAATCTAAGAGCATAAAATGGGTTGGGTCTAAACCGGAACCATTATACTTTGGTTCTTTGGATATTCGTAGATCGTCTTCGATCTTGCAATGTTATTCCACTCGACTCATTAAGCCACCCACATCGGTGGGAGGTTTCTTAGTCAAGGACTGGCAGAGTTTACAGGTTAGCTGTAAGCCTAACTCAAATGACACAGCCGCTAGCTATTTATTGCAGTTGTCAATCTCATTATCTACTGACATAGTCTCGTAAAATTTATGTTTCCTCATTCTTCATGGTAAGGAGCACGTCCACCTTCTTTGGTGGTCAGCTATTGGTAATAAAACGTGAGATGAACACTATTGAACCTGCTTCCAATTATTGATTGATTTGGTTTCCAGCTTGTAATACCATCGAAGGGCAATCTCACCCAGGCTTGAGGATAATATTCTACACATGATCAGTCTATTATTACTCCACAAGGTCATAGATTACGTGTAGTGCTGGATATAGCTAGTCGGGTCTCCTTTGCCATCATACAGGTTGAACTTCAAAGGAGTAAATCTCTACAGATCAACGTTCTCAATTGCTTAAGAGAATGATGAGGCTATATTTACTGTGAAAAGCTTTCTTCGAACCGGCTTGGAGTTTCCATATATATGTTGGTCGAGCCACCTCCTCAGGTCGTTTTTCTAATATTCTGGTGAGTTATCCCTTTTGGCGGCTTAGCGCTTCTTTCGTTTTTGACTAGGATGACTATTGGCGATTTAGTTGATAGCCTCTTGGAAAACAGTCCGCTTTTGTTGGGCACTTCGAACTTTGGTTATTTTTTTTCTAAATTCTAGTCCCCTTCAAGTTATTCGTAGTTTTTCCTTAAGAACCTCAACTTAAGCTAAAAGCTAATCTACAAGTTGGATTTGTTGTTTATCGTTGTCTAATGGGGGAGTTATTCTCATTGAATCTACAAGTGCCATTCTTAAGTAGTGGCCAAAATTCTGATCGAGCATATTGCTGACTAGGGTATTCTGATGATCGTTTGGTATCTCTTTTAAAGAGGGATAGGCACTCATCTTCTCGTTGTTCCCACAAACGGCACCAATTTTGGAAAGTAGAATTCTTCTCTATTGGGAAAGCAAGATGATGTCACGCCTCAAAATTTGAGCAATTAAATATTAAATTAGGACTAAACCCCAATCAATATTCCGTCATCCAAATCCTAGAGGTGATTTTTCAGGAAAGTTCAAAACAGGAAAAGTGTTCAGAGTAATGTTTTACTTCAGTTTATGCGAAATTAATAAAAATAAGCTCGTTTCGTAGGTTAAAACAACATCTAAAATCTGCATTGCTAAAATGAATAAAAACTATTGTAACCAAGATCATCTGATTACAAGTTCTAATCGATCTTTTTAGTAAAAAGTTAAAATACAAAAGTTATCTAGAATTATGTATACATGCCTCTGCCCAAATTTCGTAATTTAACGAGGTCGTTTATTATTTTCAAGATGTACAAGTCAATACAATTCAAACTATATCAATAAGTTCATATTTAATTCTTTGTAACTTAACTTCACCCCTTCAACCCTTCACTTCTGGCCTACACATATATCTCATATGCCTCCCGTATACCTAATACTGCTCCGAAGCCAAACTTGCACGGGGATATTGTCCGAGTTTGACTCATACTCCTCAGATAGTTAGCATATACATACGTACGTAAATCAAAACACTCATCTACTCTTGAGAATGAAGCAACAATAGATATGTACACAATCCCTCATCTACTCATGAGACAAACATAACAATGTCAAGCCTAAGGCATTCAAATAAATCTCATAATCTTTGCCTTTTTTTTATACACTCTTTTTGACGTCTCATCAACGCTCAAATCAACAACGAGTCATGATGGAGTATTTGGAATTTATCTATGGATTCCAAGTTTATTTTAATTTCATATAACCATGAGTATGATTATAACCATAAAATAAATACATATAAAAACCTTAAACCTTGCATATATAACTAATCAAAATAATTAAAATCAATCCATCATCTTTATGTAAATACAATATCAAATAAATAAAAATAAATTAATAATAACAACACAATAAACATAAATCAAGGAAAGTGAGTTTTGCATTCACAATATTTTTTTGAAGATCAAAGAATCACTTAAAAGAATTAATGAAACTCCCAAAATAAAACCCTAACCCTTTCTTCTCTCCCCTCTCTCGCCGTCTCTTTCTCTCTCTCTCTCGCTCTCTCTCTCTCTCTCTCTCTCTCTTCGCCATCCTCTTTGCTCTCGGAACTGCCCCGTACATAGAGCCCTCTTTCTTTTTGTTTTGTTTTGTTTTTTTGGCAGCACTCTTATGATAACCTAATTAAGGATTATATTATATTTTATTATATAAATACAATATATATAAATATGCTTTATAAAATTGATACATATAATACCTTTATTTATATATAATATATATATAAATATTTTGATTAATTATATGTAATTAAATATCAGATTAAATTCTTATATAGCCACACAATTAATAAAGTCCAAAAATAAAATAAGGTAATAATAATAATAAATAAATAAATAACTTAAGAAATTAGGGTCGCTACAGATGACGGGTCCCTTCCTTTCTCCTACCAAGAGAAACCAAAACTTCAATGATCACCCCCAACCAGGATTTGTCAGGAGAACCCTCCAATGATCAAGTCAGAATATTGTTCGGTCATGAGAAATTGTATAAAGAGAGTTCTTGGATTACCCTTTGTTTGTCCTCTTTGCTTCATCTGCTTCGCCTTTTATAGTTTTTCTTATTTGAATCACATTCATTGGATCAATGTTTCATCCGAGGGTTCTGTCTATTCCTAGATCAAGTTGGGCAAGTGGCCAGATTGCCTTTACCTTTGATCGTTGGATCGTCCTTTCATGGAAGGCTTAAATCATGTCAGATGTCAATGGCCAACTTGCAAAGTGATATGTTCGTTCAACCAAATTGATTGGATGGTTGTACAGTCTAGTAGACCTGAGTTGTGTCCTTGTATTTGCTGATTGATTTCTTTACCGTTGAATGAAGATGAATCCGACGTTCCTCTTACATTCCGTGGATTCTCCTTCTAGAAGGACATCTTTATCCCACTATTGTTCCTTACGCTTATAGCCACACACCAGTTTACTACCGGCAAGATTTAAACAAATTGGAAAATTTTTAAACATATAGAAAAAAAAATTGAACAGATAGTCAACGGATAAAAAAGTCAACAAATAAATTAAAAGGTAAAATTAAAAATAAAATGTCCTTCAAAATAAACAAAAGGATTTCTCATCAAATTATTTCACAAATTGTAGATTTCTCACCAATAAAAAATATTCACTAGATCTAATTTTTTATACCCTCCTTGGATTAGACTTTTTAGCAATTTACACTTTTTTTTTTATTAATCAAATGTACTACATAAATAAATATAGCATAATACTCTTAAAGTATTTAATAAATTTCTGCTAAAGTGAGGTGTGAGAGATAAAGATGTAGGCAATTTTTTTATTTTTTTTTTAAACTTAAAATTTGTGTCATGTTAATATCAATAATCTGTTATGTTCAAATAAACATGATCTTATTATTTGTGTCTTAATTACCTAATAACATTGAAGCAACAAGTTTAACTTATAAATTTTTTCATTAATGACTTCACAACACCACATAACAATACAACGTTGTGGTAGTTTGATGTAACTTATCTAAACTACTTATAACTTATTTTATTTTGATATTTTTTATCAAATTTTTTGGTGCAACTTTTAATTATGTATAACTTATTATACATAAATAACTTAAATAAGTTTTTTTTTTAAAAAAAAATTATCTATAAGGTGGAAGATGGAAGCTTTTACCTCCTTTTAATTATCAATTTTTATTTTATAATAATAAGTTACATCAAATAATACCCATTACGCTTCGACACTGGTGAATAGTTGCCCCAACTTCAATAACGAGGTTGTTTGTAATATATTATATAAGTGTAGTTTTTGATTTTTTGACTAAAAAAATATAAATATATATATATATATATATATGTGTGTGTGTTTATGATAACTTTTTAACTTTTTATGAAAAGATTTGTAATAAAATATTATAATAAAATCAAAATCACCATTCTACCCTTGTTGACTTTTTTTCAAATAGTATGGATCTTTTGACTTTTTTTAGTAACTTTTTGACTTTTGTAGATTATCCCAAACCAAGCCTGGTATGTAATATATACCGTATGTAATCATAACACAAATTATGTAATTTTTTATGAATTTACATAAACAATCTTATAAAAATGCGCAAGTTAAATATAAATTTGCGTGTGTTCGTAAAAACTTACGTAATTTTATAAATTTAAATGAATTTATATTTAATTTACGTATTTTTATAAAATCACTTACATAAATTTATATAAATTTACGTTCAATTGACATGAACATATAAATCTAGATATAGAAATAGAAACATCATCTTGTTAGCCAAATTCACAAGATTAAAATAAATTTTTAAACTAAAAAACAAACAAACAAACAGCTGGCTTATGATCCCATGTTTGCTTCACGCAAGCAGCTAACTGTGAATTTGCTTCTTCGCGTGCCTTTAAAGTCTCCATTATTTACTGCTCAAACCCAAACCAAAACAAACCAAACCTTGAATCTCCCCTCTTCAAGAACCTCTCTCTCTCTCTCTCTCTCGTGTGCAAGAATCCCCACAAACCCTAATTCCATGATTTACAGACTCAACAATCACAACTATTTCCCAAAAAAATGACCTCAAACCATAGCACCACCACCACAACCACCAGCGGCGGTGGTGGACCTTGCGGCGCATGCAAGTTCTTGAGGAGGAAGTGCATGGCTGGTTGCATATTCGCACCATACTTCGATTCGGAACAAGGTGCGGCCCATTTTGCGGCGGTGCACAAGGTGTTCGGAGCGAGCAACGTTTCCAAGTTGCTCCACCATGTTCCGGCGCACAAGCGGCTCGACGCCGTCGTCACCATATGTTATGAAGCGCAGGCTCGGCTTAGAGACCCTGTCTACGGCTGTGTTGCTCACATCTTCGCCCTCCAGCAACAGGTACACACAAACGAATTTAAAAAATAAAAAACTATTTTTTGGATTTTTCAAATTTTTGTAAATTTTTTTTATTTTTTTTTTTTTCATTTTTCCTATCCAAGAAGCAACAAGGGTTTTTATTTTTCTTTACTGATTTTTTTTAATATATTTTAGTCAAATTTTTTTAATTTATAATACATAAATATTATATGTATCTATAAAAAAAAATGACTAAAAACAAACAAAAACCCAAACAAAAAGGCACACAAATTTTTATTTGAATTTTTGTTTATTTTTAGTATTTTTTTATAAATATTTTAGCAAATTTGTTTAATTTTTAGATGCATCTTGATTAGGTACATTTAAAAAGTACAAAAAATTGATTAAAATATATATAAAAAAAATTACATAAATATTATATGTATCTATAAAAAAAAATGACTAAAAACAAACAAAAACCCAAACAAAAAGGCACACAAATTTTTATTTGAATTTTTGTTTATTTTTAGTATTTTTTTATAAATATTTTAGCAAATTTGTTTAATTTTTAGATGCATCTTGATTAGGTGCATTTAAAAAGTACAAAAAATTGATTAAAACATATATAAAAAAAATTACTAAAAATAAATCAAAACACATCTAAAAATAGTTTTTGAAAAATCAAACCAAACAGGCCCGAAGTTTTTTGAAAATTTTGAAATACTGTTCAACCAACAAAAAATTAAAAAAAAAAAAACTCTAGGCCTTGTTTAGTTTCTTTTTTCAGAAAAAAATTTGAAATTTTTTTTTGAGAAAATGAAAAATAATTTGATAAAAATAAATATTAAAAAGATATTTTAAAAATTATTTCTAGTCTTCCAAAAGATAAAATATTGTAAAAATTATAAGTATTTTTTATTTTTTTATCTCTTTCACTAAATTAATTTTTAATTCTTTAAAAAAAAATCTGATAATTACACCAAGCCTAAAACTCTAAACAATACGGTCGTTTCGGCGAGTTCGGATCCTCAAAATGATCTTATTCATATAGTAATTTTTCGTTGAGTTACTTTTTTGTATGATTGAAATTTTTATTAAACTAAAAAAATAAATATTTTTATAAACACAGTTTTCGTTTATTTTTTTTAGAAAAACGTATTAAAATGAAGTAAAAAAATCATAAATAATATATACAAACGACTTTAAATGATTCAGATCATTAAATTGAAACCTAAGACAGCCTCTATATAGTCCAAATAAACCCAACCCTTCTTGTATAAGCCCACTCTCTCAAATGGAATTCAAAACAACCCACCCTGAAAAATAATTAGGCAAAAAAAAAAAAGTGTAAAGATTATACATTTTATGTGTAATAAAGAATAAAGATCGAGAGTTTTAATTTTAAAATTTTAAAGAGAATTTTAGTGATTTAATAAGAAATGAGACTCACATATAATATGATGTGTTTATATTTTTATTTTTTTATTTTTTTTCTCTATCATTAGAGCTCTTTTTAAAACTCTAAAATTAAAATTTTCTATCATTATTGATTATAAATTTTTAAAGTCATCTCACAACATGTATTCTTAAAAATACACGTTTACGACACCTAAAAGTGTACATGATTTTGTTACCATGTGCTCGCGAAAACTTAAAAACATACTTTCTGCATTAAAATATAAAATCTTAACTTTTACGCTAAAGATACAAGTTAATATTATATATTTTGAGTGGGCTGAGCACACTTGTTAACAAGATTTAAAATATTAATACATAAAAGTTTTGTTTAATTAGCAAGATTAATAGTAAAAAAATTAACAATTCATAAGTTTAATGTAGGATTGGTTAGTGGGATAAATAATCCCCTCTCCTCCACATTTGTATTGTAATAGATATGAAAATATATAATCTTAAGATTAAAAAAAATTCATCAATTTTGTTGGACAAAATATTTACTAAAATCTAATCCCGATGTCGTTTGAGATATGGGTTAAGTTGCTTTTTAGTTAAAATAGTTACAAAAAGATAAAATATGCTAAAAAATTAATAAGACAATGTCACATTCTAATCATAATCATTTCACTTTTTCCCTCATAAAAGTCAAAAAATTCAAAAAAAGCCAACCCAAATGAACTTTTTAATTTGGGCTAAAAGCAAAAAAAGTCAAAAAGTCAACTCAATTTCCCAAATGAAGCCAAGAATTTTAATCAAATAATGAAATGTGAGTCTCATAAATAAATAATCTCAATCCTATTATAATTAAACATGCCACAAATAAAAATATTTATTTAATAATGAACAAATGTCAGACTCCATTTTTTATTCAAACTCATCAATAGATGATCAAAGTATCCACTATTCACCTCACAAAATGGTGAAATATATCTGGTAGCATATATAAATTTTTCTATTTACATATCTTGTAACTTCATCTTCTTAAAACTAATTTTGTATATTTATTTATACATGAAATACATATATATATACAATCATGATTCAAAACTCTAATGGTGGAGCTCCACTGACGTGGCAAGAAGCAAAAAAAAAAGAAAAAAAAAGAACAAGATACATGCATCATATCATCAGTGGGTGGGGCCCACTGCCATCTTATTAGAGTTGTAATTAGAGTTCTATAATTAGAGCTCTAAAACATTTTCCTTTATTTGACTTATGGTTTGATTAAATATTGCACATGTCCATCATGTTACTTACAAAAAATCGTATTAGTTTCATTTAACAAAAAAAATAAAAAATAAACACACAAAATATAACATATATATAGTTTAACAATGTGTTTACATTCAAGAGAGAGAGAGAGTGCGTGTGTTAAGTAAGGAGAAGGGGTACTACTGTGCCTTAAGGCATAGTAGTTATTGTTGCTTCCTTGTGGAAAATTGTCCCGAGTGTTTTTCGATGATCTGAACCATTCATATTGTAGGGTTCGTCGAGTAGATCATTCATACAAAAAATCAAGTTAATTGAATATTTGTAGCCCTATAACCAAAGCACATTTGTTTCTATAAAAATTAATGGTTAACATAAACCAAACCAAACTAAGCCTTAAGTCTCATCAAATGGGGTCGACTACATAAATCCTTCTTCTCCACGCTGCCCTATCAAAGGCCAATTCGTTAGTCAAATTAAGTTGATCTATATCTCTATTTACAATGCTAACCAATGTTAATCTAGTTATTTATTAAAAAAAAATTTAAGATAAATTATATTAAATTCTCTTAAATTATTGATTATTTATATTTTACCCTTTTAATATTTTAAATCTAACAATTACTCCTTTTAAATTATTTAAATTTGAACATTAAGTCCTTTTATTAGTCATTTGTTAGATATTTAAATGAAAAATTATCAAGTACTGTACACATGATGATTATATTAAATTTTTACAAAAGATAAAATAGGATAATTTGGTCATAAAATTGAATATAATCATCATGTGCATAGCACTTAATAATTTTTTATCCAAATATCAAGGACTTAATGTTTAAATTTAAATAGTTTAAGGGGGGTAATTGTTAAATTTAAACATTAGGGAGCAGGGGGTAAAGTGCAAATGGCCGATAGTTTGAGGGGATTTAATATAATTTGCCCAAAAATTTATTTAACTTTTAATAATAAATTTATTATTTTAAAAATGTTTTTTAAAAAATACAATTTAATTACATATCTTTTTCACATCATATTTCAATATAAATTAATACAAATAAAATAAAAATAAATCTAAACTTACAAAGAAAAGTTAAATTTTAAAAATTATTTATCAATTTGATAAATTTATCAATATTATTCAGTGTGTTTGATTTCAGTTTTCTGAATTCAGTTTTTTAAAAATTAAGGGTATGTTTGGTTTGAGTTTTAGAGATGAGTTTTAGAAAAAAAATTTAAAAAATTGTTTGGTTTGAGATTTTTTCAAAAAAATTTCAAAATCACTTTCTCTCTCTTACACATCAATCTATCACTTTTTCCCTCTCCTCTCTCATTCTCAATCACTTTTTCCCTCACACATATCTACTGAATTACAATAAAATATCAAATCATCCCAAACTCCAAAACTACTTTCAAAATATACAACCAAACAAACCAAAAAAATTTCTAAAACAACTCTCTCAAATTTTTTAGAAAAACAACTCTCCCAAAAACAAACCAAACAAGCCCTAAGTTTTTTTTTTTTTTGTATTTTTTTTTACAGCAATTTTTATTTTTTTTTACTTTTTTAAATGCACCTTACTTAGATGTATCTAAATAGTAAAATATTTGTGAAAAAATATTTTAAAAAATTAATAAATACACAAAAATACAAAAAATGTATTGAATTTTCATATTTTTTGATATTTATTGTATTTTTAAAAAAAATCACAAATATTATACTTTTTAAGTGTATTTATGGTTGGTGTGTCTAAAAATTAAAAAAAAAATTGCTTAAAATATTAAAAAAATTCTTGAAGACATTAAAATACGAAAAATAAAAAAAGTAAATTTTTCTGAAAACAGCTTTCTAAAAACCAAAACCAAACAAAGTGATTAATACCAAATGATCATTTTATAAACATAAAACACATCTAAAAAGTCTCAAAAAAAATTTCATTTTCAAAACAATGGGCAAATACGTTAAAAAAATTTACTCAGAACTTAAGTCTAGTCAATAAGACTAGTTAGTAATTATCTTTGATTACTACACAATAATCTAAGTAATCTTTTTTCATTGAAAATATTATTTTTATAAAATATTTATACATAATTTTTTATCAGAGTGATGTGGTGGTGACAATTTTATAATTAAATATCATTTTAATAGATTATTTTAATTTTATAATTAAATATCATTTTAATAGATTATTTTTACATATGAATTCATATTTTTAATTTTTTTATTATTATTTGTATATTATTACTTTTTTTGGTTCAGTATACTTTTCATAATAATGTGACTAACTCTATTTTATTACTATTAAATTGTCATTGTAGAAGGTGAATTTACAAGCAGAACTTTCCTACTTACAAGCCCACCTTGCAACATTAGAGCTTCCAATTCCACTACCACCTCTGCCACCGCAACCACTACTCATGCCGCCTACCCTCTCACTAGAGGATCTCCCATCAACATCCTCCATGCCTCATGCGAATGACTTATCGTTACTCTTTGAACCAATTGTGCAACCCTCATGGACAATGCAACATCGCCAAATCAATCCACGACAATTCGGAGACACTAGAACTCCATCCGACATTCTGTCATCTATCGAAGACAACAATGGTAGCGGTGATCTCCAAGCAGTGGCACAAGAACTTATACGTAGGCGTAGGCCTCCACCAGTGCAATGCCTTGAAGCTAAACCTTTGCCACCACACTCTAAATGAGCCTAACCCCAATTAACTGGTATTTGGCATGGATCCATTACGTCGGGTCTTAGATTTTTTTTATTTTTTATTTTTTTAATGGGCAAAGTAACTTTAGTAACTGATATATGTATTTATTTTTTTTATCTTAATTCCTTTTATTTGTTTCTTTAAAAAAACACTATTGAAATTCAATGTTAGTTTATATACATCTAACCTAGCATTATAATTTGTTCTGTTTACATTAGCTAGCCTATGGTATATGTTGGAATTATGATTTTTTATAGGCTTATTTTGGAACAACTTTGAGCCCAAATTTGAGTGGGGTCCATACGTCTTTTGGGATGGGTCGAAAGAGGTGACATGTTCCTTACTACATGGCAAGTCGTACGGTGCAAACAGTTCGTCAAAACCATTTATGAGTGAATGGGAAGTTGATGTCGTTTTCGGGTTCGTGGAATGAACAATTAAAGAAGTAAAATGTGAATTTCCTTGAAATGGTTATCCCACATTGAAACTTAAAAAGAACTTATATGTGTATATAAGTTTTATGTGGGAATACTTGGGTTGGGCCCCAAAGGGCACCCAAGTTTGTAAAAGAGATGAGTTATGGACAAAGTAGACTTTGGCCCAAAACACCATACGTGCACCACCACTATCCAACTAACCGTGCCTGGGTCAAGTCAGTCCTAATATTAATTTTTTGGACAAAGTTTATTTGAATTTTGCACCAATTTAAATTTAAATTTTTTGCTCCCAACTAGTGTGTCTTTTCCAAACCAGCCCAAGCAGATTTAGACTGTTTTTAACATGTTTTAACAAATTGCACCGAGACAGATTTTATTCTTCCTATACATATTTAAAACTGCCTAGCAATTTCCAACAGATCAAACTGGTTTCAAACAGATTTTTGCACCTATTCAATTTGAATTTGCACCTGTTCGGATCTGTCCAACAGTCACTAGTTTGCCTATATGTTCATATTCATTCCAATAGATTTTTTCATCCAGAAAATTCATTTGTCTTCTTGATTTTACTCTCTTTTTGCATTATTCTTCATACTAGTTTTTAGAGAAAAATTCTGAGAGTATAAAACACAGATTTTAGTTCGTCGTATAGATTGTTTGGAGTGCTACTACAATCTGTGTAAGATAATTGTATCTTGGGAGATAGATGTCATTTATCCGTAAGCACTAGAGCGGGGCGAATCTATCTTAAGGATAGAGTGTCACACACTCGACTTGATCAAATTTGCACTTATACGTTTCGGTAAATAAATTATGTAAGTAATTTATTTTTATTTATTTGATTTGATTTCAACTTATTTATTTTACACAGAAGATTGTTCCAACAATCTTAAGACAGAATCAAAATATTTTGTTTATACAGAATTTTTCGTTTGTTTCTGTTTCTTCCTTTCTTCTTCTTACAAAAATTATTTTCGGTGCTAATACAAAATAATATTCTAGTTGAAAAATACAAATAGTAGTGATATGCTGTTTGACAAATAATTGTAATATACTATTTATTTTCTTTGAAAACTAGTAGTAATATAATGATAGTCATTAACAATTTCAGAATATTCATTTATGAAGTAGTTCAAAAATTAATTTTGGTATTCAGAAATAAATTCTGAATTTTCATTAATTAAAATTTTGTTTTCAATATTTTAATTTTTGAAGTGCTATAGAAATATTTTTCCATGTGGAATTAATTTGTTTAAATAAAATTTTATTTTCAAAGTAATTGGAAATAAAAGTTACAATTCTTGTTTCTTTTATTTTTACAAATTTTAAATTATGTGTTTATGATTTAATTTTCTGTGTAATATAAAATTCTAATTATAATTTTGTTTTATAATTTAGAATTCATGGCTACTGAAACTAATGTTCCAATAAGTACTGGTATGGTGACTGGAATTGCTCCAATCCCTTCTACTGTTGTGACTGTGTCAGTCAATCACAGTGAAAAGCTAGAGAAGTTCTTAGGAACTAATTTTAAAAGATGACAGCAGAAAATGTTGTTCTATCTTACTACTTTAAACCTAGTGCATTTCCTTCGTGAGAATGCTCCTACTCTAAATAAGGATGAAACCGACCGACAAGTGGTTGTTGCTGTCGATGCCTAGAAACATGCTAATTTCCTTTGCCAGAACTACATCTTGAACGGACTTGATAACACATTATACAACGTCTACAGCCCAACCAAGACAACAAAAGAACTTTGGAAGTCATTAGAGAAAAAGTATAAAACAGAAAATGTTGGTTCAAAGAAATCTGTGGTTGGCAAATTCTTAGATTTTGTAATGATTGATTTTAAAGACAGTGATCGGTCAAGTTCAAGATCTCCAACTTATTCTACATGACATTTATGCAGAAAGCATGTCCCTTAGTGAATCCTTCTAAGTTGTTTCCTTAATTGAAAAGTTACCACAAGGCTGAAAGGAATTCAAGAACTACCTCAAACACAAACGCAAAGAAATGACTTTGGAGAAATTGATTGTGCATTTGAGGATTGAGGAGGACAACCGCAATTCTGAGAAGCGAATTAGTAAACATCTAATGGAGTCTAAGGCAAATATGGTGGAACATACTCCAAAAGCTAAAAAAACAGAAGTATTCTGAAGAAAGTTTCGCACAAGGCTCTAAAGGAAGGGAAACTAAGAAGTATAAGTTTAATGGAAAATGTTACATCTGTAACAAAGAGGGACATCAAGCCAAAGATTGTTGTAGCAAACGCAAAGGCAAAGGAAGATCAAGCAAGAAGCCTGCGCAAGCCAATATGACCGAAGTGGACAAAATTTCCAATAGTGTAGATTACATAAATCTTTTTGCAGTTGTTTCCGAAAAAAACCTTATCGGAAATCCTAAACAATGGTAGGTGGACACTGGTGCTACTCGCCATATCTGTGTTAACAAAAAAATGTTCACATCCTATTTTGTGGTGGACAATGACGAACAACTTTTTATGGGCAACTACTTGACTTCTAAAGTTGAAGGATAAGGAAATATTATTCTGAAGATGACATCAAGAAAGAAACTAACTCTCAACAATGTGCTGCATATACCGGACATTCGCAAGAATCTAGTCTCTGGATCTCTGTTGAGTAAAAATGGGTTTAGACTAGTTTTTGAAAGTGACAAATTTGTACTTACCAAAAACAGGGATGTATGTAGGAAAATGTTACATGTCTAATAGCCTTTTCAAAATAAATGTAATGACTATTCTATCTTCTGTTATTAATAAAAATGCATCCTCTTTTTACTTGCTTAAGTCTTCAAATTTGTGGCATGGTAGAATAGGACATGTTAATTATGGATCTTTGCATAAATTAATTAATATGGAATGTTTACCTAAATTTGACATTGATTTAAATCATAAATGTGAAATTTGTGTTGAGGCAAAATTAACTAAAACTCCTTTTCATTCAATTGAACGAAGTACAGACCACTTGAACTAATTCATAGTAACATTTGTGATTTTAAATCAATTCAACTAGAGGTGGGAAAAAATATGTTATTACTTTCATGGATGACTATACTAGATATAATTATGTTTATTTAATTCGAACCAATGATGAAGTTTTGGAAACTTTCATTCAATTTAAGAGTGAAGTTGAAAATCAATTTGGTAAGAAAATTAAAAAACTAAGAAGTGATAGGGGTGGTGAATATGAATACCTTTTGGTGAGTTTTGTAAAGAATATGGAATAATTCATCAAACCACCACTCTTTATTCACCTCAGTAAATGAAATTGCTGAAAGGAAAAATAGGACTTTAAAAAAAATAATGAATGCTATGTTAATAAGTCCGAGATTACCTCAGAATTTGTTGGGGGGAGCAATACTTTCTGCTAATTATATTCTTAATAAAGTACCCCGAAAGAAAGTGAATCAAACACCTTATGAAATGTGACATGGGAGAGTACCATCCTATAAATACTTAAAAATGTGGGGGTGTTTGACTAAAATGGTTATTCCTAGTCCTAAAAAGACTAAGATAAGTCCTAAAAGTGTTGATTGCATATTCATTTGTTATGCCAAGAATAGTAATGCATATCGGTTTTTGACTCATAAATGAAAACATTCTGAAATGCATATAAATACTATTATTGAATATCGAAATGTATTTTTCTTTCAACATGTGTTTTCTAATAAAACTGGCCAGGAAACTAGTACTAATAAAAGATCTTATAATGTTATTACTAGTCATGATCAATAACATGATCAAGAACAAGAGCAAGAGTTAGATCAAAATGAGAAAGAGGAACCTAAGCGTAGTAAACGTGCTAGAACCTCAAAATTTTTTGGTTCAGATTTTCTAATTTTTTTTTTTTTGTTAGAAAATGAGCCTTTAACTTTCAAATAAGCTATATCTAGTCTTAAAGCTCCTTTATGGAAAAATCCTGTAAATAGTGAAGTTGAATCCATCCTGCAAAATCACACTCGGGAATTAGTGGATTTGCCACCAGGTTGTAAACCTCTTGGGTGCAAGTGAATTTTCAAAAGAAGATGAAAATGGATGAATCAATTGACAAATACAAAGCAAGACTTGTGGTCAAAACATATAAACAAAAAGGTCTTGATTACTTTGACACATACTCATAACATCCATTAGAATGCTAATTGTCATTGCATTCTTGAACAATCTCGAAATTCATCAAATGGATATGAAACAGCTTTCTTAAATGGTGAGTTAGATGAAAAAATTTACATAGAACAACCAGAAGGATTTTCTGTTCCAAGAAAAGAAAAGAAAGTGTGTAAATTGGTTAAATCATTATATGATTTAAAACAAGCGCCAAAGCAATAGCATGACAAATTTGACAAGGTAATGATATCAAATAGATTTAAAATTAATGAATGTGACAAATGTAGTTATATTAAAAACACAGACAACTATTATGTGATAGTATGTCTTTATGTAGATGATATGCTCATCATAGGTAGTAATAATGACATGATTAAAACTATCAAGAAAATGTTGAATAAATATTTTGACATAAAAAATATGGGGATTGCTGATGTAACACTTGGTATGAAAATTATCAAAATATCATAAGGTTATGCCTTATCACAATCACATTACATTAAGAAAATACTTGACAAATTCAACAAAGATGATGATCATCTTGCTAGAATACCTGTGGATATTAATTTGTTTCTTTCTAAAAATGTACAAGAAAGTATTTCTCAATTAAAGTATGCTCAAATTATTAGAAGCTTAATGTACTTGATGAA